TTGAATGCAGAGAATCTGCAATGTAAATTCTACAAATTTGAGGAACACAAAAGCTTAATTTTGGACTTAAGCTTACATTTCCGTCAGTAGAGGAGATGTTTTAAATTGTTTTGATAAATTTTGTGAATCAAAATGACCTGAAGAATTACAAAAAAAAAATCGAGTTTTCCCTTGTTCAAACGGGCTGTTGAAAACATTAGAAAATTTTTTGTATTAATTACTATTTCGAACACTTCCAAAAATATTATTTTTTCGAGGGACAGACAACAAGCACAACCAAACACCTCGAACCGAAACTTTCTTTCACAAGTTGTGCCATGTAAATTGTTTTTTTTTTTTACGTTGTTTATTAACATCTCGTGGATGAAATTAATCCGGTACATTAGCCCCTTGTTGATTTGCTTGCTCTCTGCTTCTGCAACCCAGGAAAAGCGGCGTTAACCTGCGCTAAAATAAAGTTAGTTTTTATGGTTTTCCGTTTCAGAGGCCTACGTCCCCAATTTTGATATTACAGATACCGCAATAATTCCTTATGCTGCTTTATCACGTAGTGCGCGTTGAACATGCACAAGCTGAGTTCTACAATTAACATGTTGTTTTAACATATACCTAGAAAAGTGAATTATTTCGTGCAGGTAAAAAGCTTAGTGGGAGCGTAAAATAGGCATTTTTCGAATTTTGTTTCATTACTCGAACAGCCTAACGAATATAAGACCGAAACGTAGCGCTGAAAACGCACTCATACAGATGCACAGAATTGAATGAAATGACTGAATATCTAGTGTCCGACAGAAACTTGTTGGCCGTTTTCTTTTTTCTGTTGCGTGTAAGTAAGTAAGAAACCTAGCCCTAGAACCCACTAGCAGTTCTTCTGACTAATGGAAGTAATAGGCAGATAAACAAGCCTAGGGCGGTCTCAATGAGGTAATGGCTTTATGGCCAACGGTTAAAACGTTTGCCGTTTTACGGCTAACGGCTAACTTCTTTCGTTCAATGTTGAAAGAAATGAAATTTACGGTTAACTTTTTTTACGAATAAGGAGTAAAATCTGTCGTTTTTTCCATTGACACCCGCATCTCCTTCTTATAGCTTAAAACGAAAACCTCTCTGTGACGTGTAGGCTCGCATATGCATAAGACTCGCATATGAACTAAAAAATACTCGGAGAAACTGTTACAGTTCTAAGATATTCAATAAAACACAACACGACCTCTTACGAAACGAAATTTAAGCTCGAGGAGTCCTGCAATTAGGCAAGACATTAACAAAAGTAGGAACTACTATTTAACTAGAGCCAAAACTTCCGGTTAACCGCGCTGTTTAGTGTCAACCATGAAGAATTCCTTGAAGCCGAAGTTAAAGAAAATGTGGAATAAGGAAATATTTCACTTGATTTTTTCCCTTTGCTATAAATTCGTGTGTGTAAACTGACTAACCATTGCGATGGAAAACAATAATTCTTGCTACTTTTTTATTAACACTGCGACAGGACTTTCTCTGAAACTTCAAAGAGCTTTCAGGATACAAATTGTCTGAATAAAAGCAAAATTCTTAAACTATTAATTACCATGATATATACCTTGAGTGAAACCATCACCATAAGACGGACCGAAAAGCACACATAAGACGGCGCACTGCACCTTTAAAATATGAATCCGAGGCTGATTTGAAGAAACCTGCCACGCACACATATTAATTGACCTTGCTAATGCGAAGAACTTTATTTTTTCAAATGATATGATATGATATGATTTTTCAATAGATATGAGGTTCTTTTACGGACAAAATATCGAACATGGATACATTAATGTTTTGTTCAATTACGTTATTGTTATGCGTCATAATACAAGTCTTAAAATAAAATAAATCAATTTCATCCGGAATACATCGATTTTGGATGTCATACATCGATGTTGTGCAGCAAACATCGCTTTCCTGACTGTAAAAGAACCTCATATCTATTGGAAAAAAAATCGATCAGGAAAAGCCTGCCATTCTTATTTAATGTCATAACAAGAAGATCATCTATCGAACGCCAATCTTTCCTACCATAATATCGGTTTCAATCCTATCATTCCCCTGACAATAAACATTGCTTTTCACGCTTTCGATCTCGACATGAGTTTAGCGGGAAAGGGAGCCTGCCAGAACCACAAAATATTGATAATTTAATTTTAATTAATCTGTCAAACATATAATGGGGCAGCATTGTCATTAACCTTCAATGTTATGTCAGGGTAACGTTTGTTTGAGAGTGACAAAGAAAAGCTTAACGGTGAGTTTGTCATAAAAGTAATCGTGAGTGTGCCACTGTGCTTCCTTTGTTTTTTATGAAGGCTTAAAAAGAGTCGCACAATGAACGGAAATGAAAACGCTGTGCAAAGTGCTCCGGCAATCAGTAAGGCGAGTTGTGCTGCAGTTGCGTCGCTATATTCTTGTTTTATGTTTAAGCTCCAGAGTTCTCAGGTTAATTAAGGCCTGGGTCATCTTGCCTTTTTAGCAATTTGGCGACGGATTTTTCTCATACTTGGCAGAAATGTGTATCACCACCATCTCTCTCGGACTGAATTATGGCAGCGTAATATGATACTCTCAACAGCCAAAAACAGTTAATTTAGGCGCCAAATTCGTCGGTTGCTTTCTAGAGCAAATTCCCACCACTAAACACAAGGCAAATCAAAATGCAGTTATCGCTATGAATATTTGAGACGTTTTTCATCGTTTTCCCACTTGGAATAGCTGCCAAAAAAAAGAGAGATGTGCTAGGCAGATTAAATCAAGTTTTGTCTCTGCGAAGCTGCTACCTCTATCATGGTTTTCGCCCGAAAACATCTTAGCCTTTACCTGGTTCCAACCGCTGTCAATGAAATTAATCCTACAGGTTCCTATTTATTTGGAAAAAAGACAAATTAAAACTGTTTAAGAGGTGGGAATTTTGGAAACTCGCAGTCACGTATTCAACTTAGTGTCCGCCATTTTGAACACGCGAGTATTCAGAAGCAATTAAACTTACCTAACAACTGCTTTGGGGGATTACTTTTGTAAGTAAATTCATCTGCTTCTTGGAGAAATTGTTTCCAAAGCATTCAAAAGCCTAAATTTTGATAGACACCATAAGTATACACATCATGATATGATAGAGGATTTATCAATCTAAATTTAATTTCAAAATTGAATGGTATATCCACAATGAAACTTTTTTCTATGCATTTGTTACAAAACATGGTACTTTTTTCTATGCATAAGTTATTGTAAAACGCTATGAGCTTAAGAAATGAGCGCTATATTATAAATTCATGTTTCGACATGTTGCATTGTATTTGCAGTGAAGTCAATGAACATGTTGAGAGCGGTGTTTAAGTCTTCGTTGGTTCAAAAGGGTTCTCTTTGGCTTTAAGACAGCGATATCATGCCATTTTTTGAGGAAATGAAGATAGCAAAGAAAATGTTATTACCTTCTTTTGATGTTTTCCTCTAAATTGTCGGATTCACCAGCGAAGATGGGAAAAGCCAATGCAAAGCCGACACTTCAAAATGGCGGATGCCGTTCACGAACTACGCGATCTTGATTCCAAGTAACTATGGTTACTCGCGCAATCCACGCGAATTCCGCGAACCTTGCTGGGGGGGCACTGGAGGCGAAAATCATTTTTGACCCAGGCCTTAATTAACCTGAGTTCGCCAAGCATAGGTAATGTTTTCATGTAATAGGGATCCTCGATACTCGAAATTTACGATCGTAGCAACACATTGAGGAAGGGAATTTATGAGATCGCCAATCCTTTTGGTGCGTAAAATGTTACCTAAAACATAGTATCAAGCATTATTGAATCTAAATTCACATTATGAATAATCATTATTATTATTCATATTGCAATTAGACGTACTTTCTTTTTGTCTGTACATTGCACTAATTATCTCTTCTGAAGTGTTTTTTTTTTTAAATGATTGTACGACGTTTCGATGAAATCACAAGAAAACTATTTTAAAAAAATATATTACCTCCATTCCCTATTTTCCAAATTGTTCCCCAATTTTCACTTTTTAAGAAACTTTTTTTTTTTGGTCGTCCTCCTGTTCCTGAGGAAAATATGAGGAAAATAAGTCGAAGTGATGTTAATTTGAATGGAGAGCACCTGCAATGTAAATTCTACAAATTTGAGGAACGCAAAAAGCTCAATTTTGGACTTAAGCTTACATCTCCGCCTGTAGAGGAGATATTTCATATTTGTTTGACCCAAGTTTGTGACTCAAACTGACCAGAAGAATTATCGAAAAAGTAAAAATTAGGTTTTACTGGTTCAATCGGGCCGTTTAAAAATTTGAAACTTTTGCTGTATTAACTACCATTTCGAACACTTCCTAATATATTATTTTTTCTAGGGACAGACAAAAAGCACAATAAACAACTCAAACTGAAACTTTATTTTAAAAGTTGTGCCATGTGAAGTGTGTTATTTTTACGTTGTTTGTTTAATATCGCGTTCGTGCGTACATGTATGTGTGTGCTAACTTCCCGCAGTAACAAGATCAACAGAAATGTGTAAACTAAAACGCCATCGCTAGCTTGTTTAATGCCAGTGTCTCCGAAAAGAAGTTTCATATGTCATATTTGAACGATAAATTAGGAATATATTCCATTTCAGTAAGTCAGGTGTTACAGACAAAAACACCACGTCTGTATCTAACAACACACATTTCATAACTACACCACCCTTGCTGTGAGGCTAATTGAACCACCAATAGGATATCATCGGTTGAAATTTTCCTATTTTTAACACAGCAAATAGGACTAACTACTGTTCTTGGTAAGGTTCTTTGAATATTTAGAGCGGAATAAGTTCATGCCTTCTGTTCGTGCTCAGACTTAAAAAAAAAATTAAATCGTAGGTGGTCCTTTTTGTGGAGTATAAAAACATAAAAAAAGAAAGTATTGAATTCCCGTTTAGCCACCAGGTGATTTGTGGATATGAAAAATACATTTGAAAGATGAATGTCCATGACATAAATGGTTATCTTATGGACTGATCAAGTTTTAGCTCAGTTGCATCCATAAAGAAGCTGGGCTAATTCTCAAAACATCGGTCTTAAGCACCAAGCCTGTTCCACGGACTTTCTTCCTAATTCCTTGAGGTAAATAGTAATTATGTAATAGTAAAAGGTAATGTGTCATACCTCAGATCACACTAAAACAACTCTTGTATCAGAGTTTTTAAAGTGTCTATTTCCCTTCCTTTCTCAAAATTTAGTTCTGAGAAGTCCCAAGTCAATACGCCAAAAAATACTGAACTCAGTGGACGTTGACATCTCCAGTCACGGTGCTTTAATGAGAGTTACATAAATTCCAATAAAATCCATATTTTTAGGTATTTTTTCCGTGGGGGGTCTGGTTGCAATCGATTCCTTCTCTCCATCCCTGTTCACCATTTTCGCTGAGGCTTTAGCGATTTTATGGTTTCCTGATGTTGGGCCTTCTTTTACTGATCATGAAAAAATATGTTTATATTTCTGTTTAATTAAATTTAAGGGATCACGAAATTTTCATTTGCTCACAATTCATATACAATTTCCTCATTTCATTAAAGCTTAACAACAGACCGAACAGAAATTGAACATGACATTAAAAGAGTACGAAGTGATCATCCTCACAGTCTTGTACGCCATCACAATGCTCGTAGCATTTGCAGGGAATGGTTTCCTCATCTACATCGTGTGGAAGAAACCTGAAGTAAGATCACTAACAAGCTTCATGTTCGTCAACATGGCCATCGCCGATTTGCTGGTGGCACTGATTGTAATGCCCTGGTCGATTGCCCACATCTATACAGACGGATTGTGGAAGATACCAGGTGTATTTGGAGAAGTCATGTGCAAAGGTGTAGTATACACTGGCTATGCCACACTTACAGCGTCCATCCTCTGCCTGACATTCATGGCGATCGATAGGTACTATGCTATTGTTCATCCCCTCCGTCGCTATCTTTGGTTCCGAAAGCCTAAACTGACTGTACCATTTATTTGGATCTTTTCGCTGGCCTCGATGTCCATTTTTCCAGCTATTCAAACCGTGAAGGAAATTAATGAACGTCCCGTGTGCTCGCTATCTGTTAACATTTTGGGCGATCCACAGAAGGCTACGCGAGGCTTGTTCCTCTACTTAGTGGTGCTCAACTATCTGATACCTTTAGGTGTAATTGCCTTTCTCTATACTATTACTGCATGGAGGTTATGGTTCCATGTTGCACCTGGAAATCACCATATGACGGGAAATCGAGAGCAACAAGAAACGACCAAGAAGAGAGTGGTTCGAATGCTCATTATTGTCACCTGTGCCTTTTCTCTTTGCTGGCTCCCAGCACACGTGGTCCACATGATTTATGTCATGAATAGTTGGAATATTGATGTTCAGCTTCAGAAGATTGTCCAAAGCGGGTGTTTCTGGTTGGGCCACGCCAACAGCGCCATCAACCCATGGCTGTACATTTTCCTTAGCAGCAAGATCAGTACGGTATTTATAAAACTGGTGAGTAGAAAAAGCACCCAGTCACCTTCGAGTGTCAGCGTCAAAACATCAAATGCCCCTCTACAATCCGAAGGAGAAGCTTTCCGGGAAGAATCAAGACTGTAATCTCAATCATTTATTTATTACTTATTGGATTGTCTTAAGATAAAGGAAATATTGAAAAGGATATATAAGTTTTAACTTGCAAGATCAATAGAAGTAAATAAAAAATCGAAGAGCTTGTTGTAGTAGAAGCAGGAGCTACACGTAGCATGATGTCAGAAGGTGAATAATATAACTGAGATTGTTAAATGAGACTATTCAAACAGTATTAATTAGAAGCGAGCTACCTGGCTGCTCCGAACTATGTAACCTCGGCCTCTTTGCATGCACTGATAAGAGCACAGTAGAAAACCATGAATGTTTAGGGCAGAGTTGTATGTGAGAAAGAAATAACGTGCATCGAGCAAGTTTTTGCATAGTACCCGTTGAAACCGAATTTAACTCTTTTCTTGGTTACCATAGATAGTGATTGGTTGATAGCGTTGATGGGAATCCTAAGAAAGAGACCTAGACAATCGAACTACTTACACGGGTGGGTTTTATCAATTTAACACTAACTTGTAGATGTATTAGGACACAGGCCACAAAAACATCAAAACAAAGGTTTCCTGATCAGCTAATATCTGCTGATAAAATTAGAACATGTGGTGAATGAGGATATTCCAAAAGCGATCATTGCAACAATTGAATCCAGAGCCGATTCATATCGTTAGTTTAGACGCGTGTGCAAGCTGAGTATCTTGTTTTGGACTCCTGTGAATAACTGTTGTTTTTTCATGCTTCAGGTAGCGCTAATGTATCTTCATGCATTGTATTTTCGCGATCGTCATTTTTCTCATTTTTGTCTGTATAACTGTCTTTATAGGAGTGCCACGGCAGGCTTACGTTTGTAGTGATGGAAAATAAAGGAAAATGAATGATGACAAGGAGAACGTCGCCTGATGATAATTGTACTAATGTTTCTCTTGCTGTCGCAAGCCAATATTTAATTATTGTTTCTTGTACTTTTAATTTAGTGCACGAGCACGACAGACAAATTTAGTTAAAGAACAACTATAGTAATTCGGAAGATGCGGCTACATTATTGGTCTTCGACGTCCAGAGGTGGCAGGCAAAGGGAAACAACTATTTGACTAAAAAGAATTTTTAAAATGCCCGTAACATTATTTGTTTATTTTGTTTGTTTTTGTTTTTATTTTTTTTAAATCAAGACCCAATGCGATAGAAATGTGAGGTAAGACAGTTCATGGAGACCTTTCTTCGATTAAGCTTTCGTTCTTGTCAAATACCTTTCCAAAGGCACAAAAATACGCTTGGAAATATCCAGAAAACTTTGTCTTCGTGAGGGTTGGAGCCAACATTCCAAGAAATGAAAACCATAGGTTCATCTTCGGACGATTCAGTTCTCACCCACGCGATTTGAAGGGTACTGGAAGATAAATAGATGCAAAGATTTTTCGCGCCAAGTGATACAAGCCAAGTTACCCGGCGGTAGTATACCTGGCCTTTACCTTATTATTAACAATTTGACTGTATTGTGTCTATCATTAAGCTTTCACGAAGAGTCGCGGTTAATAGGATTTCCTCTTAAAGCGTTTGTGCAAAAGCAAGATTCACAACCATATATAGTCGATCCACCTGCTATAAAACCTTAAAGCTCCGATAAAGAAGCTTGTGTAAGTGTGCAAGTGGCACATTTAGACTCAATCAGCTCCAAAAAACAGCGTATCACTTATGTCCGCCGACGTCTACTTTCTCGCTGATTCGAAAAACTGCTTTTGCTGTTTGTACTATGGAAAAAAGAAAGCAACCACAGCATCTGTCATCTGTTATCAACCACAACAACTGTTCCTGTTATCAATTATTCACGCAGGTCCTGACTTATCCGCCGCTAAAAATACAAAGTGCTATCGGTCGACCATTTATTTTCATTTTAATCGTTTTTATTTATGGACAGAACAAGTAATTCAAAGTCAAAAGAAAGAAAAAATAGATGAGAAAAGCTTCTGTTATGTAATTTCCATGCTGGGAGAGGAAATTATAATCAAAGTTCTGGCGCCCTCTGTATTCAAGGCTTTTATGGAGATAATTGCGTTTTGTTTGTGCAATGCAATATTTCTTGTCATAATAAATTACCCTTTAGACAGTCGGTTGATCAGTGGCTGACAGCTGTCCTACTCGATAAAGTAAAATAACAACGTGTTAGATTATGTTCTTAGCTTCGTTCCCTTTTTTTCCCAACATTGTTCTTTCGTTGTTTTCCAATGATGTATTTAGTTTTTCCGCGTAAAACTAAATTTTTGAAGTCAAAGTTCAAGTAAAAAACGTCTTAATAAAAGCTTCCTTTATCGCTCATGCTGATTGCTCTAACGACCGCGTTCGAATAGCACTTACTATAAAATGGTGCTCAGGCCCTTTTACCGTGTTGTCATCCGCCATTTTATATTGAAATGCAGATAACTGTACCTTTGCTCTTATGTCCTCTTATCGTAAATATGTCCTCTGACGTAATGTGATATAGTGGCCAATCATACATATCGTTGTTAAACCTGAACTTGGAAGAACAATTTGCTGCGTGAATAACAAAGTGACTTTCGACCAAAGGATGCGTTATTGTTCACGTTTTATTTGCAGTCTTCATTGCTCGACTTACGACTCCAATGACAACATTTAAGCCACAAGCTAAGACAAAGGCACAATGTAGCGTCATATCACGATTGTTTATTTTCCTTAATAGTTGAAGATCATAGATTATGGCTCGTCGACATAAAATTATGTATTTTTGACACTTCACCTGATCTGCCGGAGGTGTGATCGACTGAGAAGTCAAAGTTGTGATTATTTGTCTGCGTCACGAAGTCTTCCTTCAATTACAGAAGTTTGGCCTTCAGTTGTTTATTTTGAATACTGTGGGTTTTTGCCGTATCGCACTGAGCCTTCCGCTAAAAAAATTGAAGTAGTCGACTATGATTTTATTGCGGTTCCGCTGATTTTAGCTGGTTTATCTTTTTTTAGTACTGTTTCTAAATTATTGTAGGATTTATTAACTTGTGGATTTGCCATAATTTACCCTGTTTATGAAAAATTCACACAATAATTAAATCACAAGAAAACTATTTTAAAAAAATATATTACCTCCATTCCCTATTTTCCAAATTGTTCCCCAATTTTCACTTTTTAAGAAACAAAATTTTTTGGTCGTCCTCCTGTTCCTGAGGAAAATATGAGGAAAATAAGTCGAAGTGATGTTAATTTGAATGGAGAGCACCTGCAATGTAAATTCTACAAATTTGAGGAACGCAAAAAGCTCAATTTTGGACTTAAGCTTACATCTCCGCTTGTAGAGGAGATATTTCATATTTGTTTGACCCAAGTTTGTGACTCAAACTGACCAGAAGAATTATCGAAAAAGTAAAAATTAGGTTTTACTGGTTCAATCGGGCCGTTTAAAAATTTGAAACTTTTGCTGTATTAACTACCATTTCGAACACTTCCTAATATATTATTTTTTCTAGGGACAGACAAAAAGCACAATAAACAACTCAAACTGAAACTTTATTTTAAAAGTTGTGCCATGTGAAGTGTGTTATTTTTACGTTGTTTGTTTAATATCGCGTTCGTGCGTACATGTATGTGTGTGCTAACTTCCCGCAGTAACAAGATCAACAGAAATGTGTAAACTAAAACGCCATCGCTAGCTTGTTTAATGCCAGTGTCTCCGAAAAGAAGTTTCATATGTCATATTTGAACGATAAATTAGGAATATATTCCATTTCAGTAAGTCAGGTGTTACAGACAAAAACACCACGTCTGTATCTAACAACACACATTTCATAACTACACCACCCTTGCTGTGAGGCTAATTGAACCACCAATAGGATATCATCGGTTGAAATTTTCCTATTTTTAACACAGCAAATAGGACTAACTACTGTTCTTGGTAAGGTTCTTTGAATATTTAGAGCGGAATAAGTTCATGCCTTCTGTTCGTGCTCAGACTTTAAAAAAAAATTAAATCGTAGGTGGTCCTTTTTGTGGAGTATAAAAACATAAAAAAAGACAGTATTGAATTCCCGTTTAGCCACCAGGTGATTTGTGGATATGAAAAATACATTTGAAAGATGAATGTCCATGACATAAATGGTTATCTTATGGACTGATCAAGTTTTAGCTCAGTTGCATCCATAAAGAAGCTGGGCTAATTCTCAAAACATCGGTCTTAAGCACCAAGCCTGTTCCGCGGACTTTCTTCCTAATTCCTTGAGGTAAATAGTAATTATGTAATAGTAAAAGGTAATGTGTCATACCTCAGATCACACTAAAACAACTCTTGTATCAGAGTTTTTAAAGTGTCTATTTCCCTTCCTTTCTCAAAATTTAGTTCTGAGAAGTCCCAAGTCAATACGCCAAAAAATACTGAACTCAGTGGACGTTGACATCTCCAGTCACGGTGCTTTAATGAGAGTTACATAAATTCCAATAAAATCCATATTTTTAGGTATTTTTTCCGTGGGGGGTCTGGTTGCAATCGATTCCTTCTCTCCATCCCTGTTCACCATTTTCGCTGAGGCTTTAGCGATTTTATGGTTTCCTGATGTTGGGCCTTCTTTTACTGATCATGAAAAAATATGTATATATTTCTGTTTAATTAAATTTAAGGGATCACGAAATTTTCATTTGCTCACAATTCATATACAATTTCCTCATTTCATTAAAGCTTAACAACAGACCGAACAGAAATTGAACATGACATTAAAAGAGTACGAAGTGATCATCCTCACAGTCTTGTACGCCATCACAATGCTCGTAGCATTTGCAGGGAATGGTTTCCTCATCTACATCGTGTGGAAGAAACCTGAAGTAAGATCACTAACAAGCTTCATGTTCGTCAACATGGCCATCGCCGATTTGCTGGTGGCACTGATTGTAATACCCTGGTCGATTGCCCACATCAATACAGACGGATTGTGGAAGATACCAGGTGTATTTGGAGAAGTCATGTGCAAAGGTGTAGTATACACTAGCTATGCCACACTTACAGCGTCCATCCTCTGCCTGACATTCATGGCGATCGATAGGTACTATGCTATTGTTCATCCCCTCCGTCGCTATCTTTGGTTCCGAAAGCCTAAACTGACTGTACCATTTATTTGGATCTTTTCGCTGGCCTCGATGTCCATTTTTCCAGCTATTCAAACCGTGAAGGAATTTAATGAACGTCCCGTGTGCTCGCTATCTGTTTACATTTTGGGCGATCCACAGAAGGCTACGCGAGGCTTGTTCCTCTACTTAGTGGTGCTCAACTATCTGATACCTTTAGGTGTAATTGCCTTTCTCTATACTATTACTGCATGGAGGTTATGGTTCCATGTTGCACCTGGAAATCACCATATGACGGGAAATCGAGAGCAACAAGAAACGACCAAGAAGAGAGTGGTTCGAATGCTCATTATTGTCACCTGTGCCTTTTCTCTTCGCTGGCTCCCAGCACACGTGGTCCAGATGATTTATGTCATGAATAGTTGGAATATTGATGTTCAGCTTCAGAAGATTGTCCAAAGCTGGTGTTTCTGGTTGGGCCACGCCAACAGCGCCATCAACCCATGGCTGTACATTTTCCTTAGCAGCAAGATCAGTACGGTATTTATAAAACTGGTGAGTAGAAAAAGCACCCAGTCACCTTCGAGTGTCAGCGTCAAAACATCAAATGCCCCTCTACAATCCGAAGGAGAAGCTTTCCGGGAAGAATCAAGACTGTAATCTCAATCATTTATTTATTACTTATTGGATTGTCTTAAGATAAAGGAAATATTGAAAAGGATATATAAGTTTTAACTTGTAAGATCAATAGAAGTAAATAAAAAATCGAAGAGCTTGTTGTAGTAGAAGCAGGAGCTACACGTAGCATGATGTCAGAAGGTGAATAATATAACTGAGATTGTTAAATGAGACTATTCAAACAGTATTAATTAGAAGCGAGCTACCTGGCTGCTCCGAACTATGTAACCTCGGCCTCTTTGCATGCACTGATAAGAGCACAGTAGAAAACCATGAATGTTTAGGGCAGAGTTGTATGTGAGAAAGAAATAACGTGCATCGAGCAAGTTTTTGCATAGTACCCGTTGAAACCGAATTTAACTCTTTTCTTGGTTACCATAGATAGTGATTGGTTGATAGCGTTGATGGGAATCCTAAGAAAGAGACCTAGACAATCGAACTACTTACACGGGTGGGTTTTATCAATTTAACACTAACTTGTAGATGTATTAGGACACAGGCCACAAAAACATCAAAACAAAGGTTTCCTGATCAGCTAATATCTGCTGATAAAATTAGAACATGTGGTGAATGAGGATATTCCAAAAGCGATCATTGCAACAATTGAATCCAGAGCCGATTCATATCGTTAGTTTAGACGCGTGTGCAAGCTGAGTATCTTGTTTTGGACTCCTGTGAATAACTGTTGTTTTTTCATGCTTCAGGTAGCGCTAATGTATCTTCATGCATTGTATTTTCGCGATCGTCATTTTTCTCATTTTTGTCTGTATAACTGTCTTTATAGGAGTGCCACGGCAGGCTTACGTTTGTAGTGATGGAAAATAAAGGAAAATGAATGATGACAAGGAGAACGTCGCCTGATGATAATTGTACTAATGTTTCTCTTGCTGTCGCAAGCCAATATTTAATTATTGTTTCTTGTACTTTTAATTTAGTGCACGAGCACGACAGACAAATTTAGTTAAAGAACAACTATAGTAATTCGGAAGATGCGGCTACATTATTGGTCTTCGACGTCCAGAGGTGGCAGGCAAAGGGAAACAACTATTTGACTAAAAATAATTTTTAAAATGCCCGTAACATTATTTGTTTATTTTGTTTGTTTTTGTTTTTATTTTTTTTAAATCAAGACCCAATGCGATAGAAATGTGAGGTAAGACAGTTCATGGAGACCTTTCTTCGATTAAGCTTTCGTTCTTGTCAAATACCTTTCCAAAGGCACAAAAATACGCTTGGAAATATCCAGAAAACTTTGTCTTCGTGAGGGTTGGAGCCAACATTCCAAGAAATGAAAACCATAGGTTCATCTTCGGACGATTCAGTTCTCACCCACGCGATTTGAAGGGTACTGGAAGATAAATAGATGCAAAGATTTTTCGCGCCAAGTGATACAAGCCAAGTTACCCGGCGGTAGTATACCTGGCCTTTACCTTATTATTAACAATTTGACTGTATTGTGTCTATCATTAAGCTTTCACGAAGAGTCGCGGTTAATAGGATTTCCTCTTAAAGCGTTTGTGCAAAAGCAAGATTCACAACCATATATAGTCGATCCACCTGCTATAAAACCTTAAAGCTCCGATAAAGAAGCTTGTGTAAGTGTGCAAGTGGCACATTTAGACTCAATCAGCTCCAAAAAACAGCGTATCACTTATGTCCGCCGACGTCTACTTTCTCGCTGATTCGAAAAACTGCTTTTGCTGTTTGTACTATGGAAAAAAGAAAGCAACCACAGCATCTGTCATCTGTTATCAACCACAACAACTGTTCCTGTTATCAATTATTCACGCAGGTCCTGACTTATCCGCCGCTAAAAATACAAAGTGCTATCGGTCGACCATTTATTTTCATTTTAATCGTTTTTATTTATGGACAGAACAAGTAATTCAAAGTCAAAAGAAAGAAAAAATAGATGAGAAAAGCTTCTGTTATGTAATTTCCATGCTGGGAGAGGAAATTATAATCAAAGTTCTGGCGCCCTCTGTATTCAAGGCTTTTATGGAGATAATTGCGTTTTGTTTGTGCAATGCAATATTTCTTGTCATAATAAATTACCCTTTAGACAGTCGGTTGATCAGTGGCTGACAGCTGTCCAACTCGATAAAGTAAAATAACAACGTGTTAGATTATGTTCTTAGCTTCGTTCCCTTTTTTTCCCAACATTGTTCTTTCGTTGTTTTCCAATGATGTATTTAGTTTTTCCGCGTAAAACTAAATTTTTGAAGTCAAAGTTCAAGTAAAAAACGTCTTAATAAAAGCTTCCTTTATCGCTCATGCTGATTGCTCTAACGACCGCGTTCGAATAGCACTTACTATAAAATGGTGCTCAGGCCCTTTTACCGTGTTGTCATCCGCCATTTTATATTGAAATGCAGATAACTGTACCTTTGCTCTTATGTCCTCTTATCGTAAATATGTCCTCTGACGTAATGTGATATAGTGGCCAATCATACATATCGTTGTTAAACCTGAACTTGGAAGAACAATTTGCTGCGTGAATAACAAAGTGACTTTCGACCAAAGGATGCGTTATTGTTCACGTTTTATTTGCAGTCTTCATTGCTCGACTTACGACTCCAATGACAACATTTAAGCCACAAGCTAAGACAAAGGCACAATGTAGCGTCATATCACGATTGTTTATTTTCCTTAATAGTTGAAGATCATAGATTATGGCTCGTCGACATAAAATTATGTATTTTTGACACTTCACCTGATCTGCCGGAGGTGTGATCGACTGAGAAGTCAAAGTTGTGATTATTTGTCTGCGTCACGAAGTCTTCCTTCAATTACAGAAGTTTGGCCTTCAGTTGTTTATTTTGAATACTGTGGGTTTTTGCCGTATCGCACTGAGCCTTCCGCTAAAAAAATTGAAGTAGTCGACTGTGATTTTATTGCGGTTCCGCTGATTTTAGCTGGTTTATCTTTTTTTAGTACTGTTTCTAAATTATTGTAGGATTTATTAACTTGTGGATTTGCCATAATTTACCCTGTTTATGAAAAATTCACACAATAATTAAATCAAAAATGGGGGTAAAGGTGGCTATGGCAAGTCAGTAGGATAGAATCCACCTAAAGGATGAATTTCACAGAATTTACCCCGTTTTTCTAAAATTCGCTGATCAAATGGAAAATCGGGTTAAAGATGGCATATGTGGTAGTTAAAAAAGAACTCCTTCAGTTGTACTTGAACATGCAACACTTCTATGGAAATAAACATCTTCAGTACAAATAATTCAAGCAAATAACTTCAGGTGAAATAGTGATTTTGTTCAATACTATTTCACAGATTACAGAAAGTAACTCTTTCTGTCCTTCCAATTTTCCCTTATATACTTATTGAACAAAATAAAGCAGTTGACACCAGATTGAGGAGTCAAGGCTATTTTATTCACCCACTCATTCATAATTGTTGGTAAGATTTCTTTTTTATGTGGGTTGCTGTAAACGTAAAGGTTCTAAATAGATTCTTTGCAATTTAAATGTTTGTGTCCTTTTTTAAAATTTTACTGCTCTGGAAATGCACTGGATGTGAAACTCTGGAACTTAACAATTCCAAATTTAAAATTGCAAAAAGTCTTTCTCCTCAAGTTGCCTCCATTTCTAGTCTCTCCACATTTCATAATGATGCTGTTCTGTGATGCTCAACAAGACCTATCCATCACTCTCAACTTGCTCTAAGATACCTGCACATCTATCAACTCTTCTGTGGTCTCCTTGGTCCAAAATTCCAAGGCTCTATCCCACTTTTAATGAAAAATTCTTTCTCTCGACTTCCCCTTCCTTACCTGCCTCCAGTAATCAAACTCTACCATTTCTTCTTTTGTCATCACTTTATGGTGACACCCTCTTGGAACATTGATCCCCTTCTCCTTCCTTAGTTTGAAAAGATATTGCTCAGTGATGGCGTTATGGCCTTGGAATACCTTCCTTCCTTCTTTCGAATAGAGAATCTGTAGGTTGGAATCTGTGAGGAAAATCAGTCTCCATAAGGAAAGAAACTTTAATGACACTCAGCTCATGAAAGACTGTCTTTACCAAATTGGTATTAAAATGCACATTTGCCCTACTTTCATTGGGTTAGTTGGACTTTTTTGCTAATGAAGTACCACTAACCAAGTATCAGCATGTTAATGATAATATGCTATGAATTAACTCGAGGGACAATGAAAACAACCTCATCCTTCTGTTAACCCAACAGACAAATTTAGCAATCGAAGAAGGAACATCAATCATTAGATGTATTTAAAATAATTTAAATTAAAATTTATTGCAGACATAAGGCAATAAAAAACATCCAAAACTGGTCATCAAAGGACACATAAAACAAAAGTGATAATAATTATAATTGTAATAATAGTGATAATAATATAATAATAATATAATAATAATAATAATAATATTTCCCTTAACTACTTGGCATGTTACAAGAATATCTCTGCATAGTATAAAATAATGATAATAATAATGGTATTCCCCTAAACTACTTAGCATGTTACAAGAACATCTCTCCATAGTTTAAAATAATAATAACAATAATAATAATAATAAAAGTAACAATAATAATAATAAAGTAAGAGAAAACCTAACAGAGGAAAACTATCAATCACTCACAAATTCTGCATAACCTATAAGAAGCATCTTTGGGAGGCTTGAGGAGCTCAAACAGGACAAAATCTTCATCATCTGGTTCACTGGCTGTAAAAAAGCACAACAATGCTTTCTTTAGCAAATAACAAAAAACAAACAAGGTTTATAGAGATGAATAATTACGGAACAATATAGCTAAAAAAACATATTACAAAAACAAAGAGACAAAGAGTGAAAATGGTAAACATATTAATTACCTTGAATTTTGTTTTGATTTGACAACTCTGTGTCTTTGTCCAATAGTTGAATGTCTAAGGGAGGAAGAGGAGGGGGGAAAACAAATGGATCATCTTCCACATCTTCACAATCCTCCTCAAAATCCCCTGATTCATACTTACAGGAAAAGCAACACCAAAACCAGTAGAAACCTCTTCCATGGTTTTTTTCAGGACTAAATGGACTCATTCCTGTTCTGCATTTCTTGATTCCATCTTCACCTATTCTTGCACTGCTGTCTTCACCAGCACAATGCATAAAACAGTATCTGCCAGTTTTTCATAAACATATTTCTGGTATCCATACTGTCCTCTATACATTTCCAGAGCTGTTAACAAGGAGAATTTGTTTAAAAATCAAGAGCTTTATTAGTTGTTGGTCATTTCCTTGATTCTTGTGATCTTAATGTTTGATTTAGGGGTGATATTGTAAGGAGAATTCAGAGGCTGGCCACTCTTAGGGGTTAAGATTTTTTTTTTCATTAATGTATTCCCTTGCGAACTGAATTCCCAGTTTTCTGGGAATTCCTAGGAATTCTCAAAAATTCCCAAGTATGCAAATGACCCTTGCAAACTGAATTCCCAGTCTTCTGGGAATTCCTAGGAAAGTCAATTTTATTTATCTGCAATTAACCCCTTCACTCCCAAGAGTGCTTGGTTTTCAAATATAATTTAAGATATTGTATTTTATGGAAAAGAATCAACAGATTTGTCAAACCAAATTTAATGATTGAGTAGGACTATTTTATATGAATAGCTGTAATTGAGGATTAATCCATATGAAGTTTTCAAGAAAAGAAAAATAAATTAAATTCCATCTTAATATTACTACAAGTTGATGTTAATAATTAATCAAAAATATTTTACATGTAAGCCTTAATTAAGCTTCTAAATAAATTTCATTGAATACTTGAATTTTAGCTGGGTTTTTTTTTTAATTTAGAGTATTTATTTTATATCATTAGCCTAAAATTTTTGCTTAAAAATTCCCAGTAATTCTTAAACATTCCTAAAAATTCCCGAAAATTCCCAGAAATTCCTAGGAATTTTTTAGATTTACAGCTTTTCAGGGAAAGTCATTGGTTCTCTGAGTTGGAATTCCTAGGAATTCCAAGTCCTGTTGGCTATAAACTTGGAATTTCTGGGAATTTCTGGGAATTTCTGGGACTTTCTGGGAATTTCTAGGTTTTTAGAACCAGAGTTGTTATGGTTGGGAATTCCTAGGAATTCCTAGGAATTCCCAGTCCGAATTTACCGTGAAAATTCACACCTTTATTCCTAGGAATTCCTAGGAATTCCAAAAGCCATTTCGCAAGGGTTGCAAACTGTACATAACTGGTGAAACAGATCCTATTTAATGGTTCAGAGATGACCTTTCTACAAGTAACTGGACTTGAGGCAATGGAAGATATTATTGCATGCTCAGTGTATTGCAGCATGATAGTATTCAAAAGTTTCCTGTTTCTGAATTCCAGCAGTGGATAACTCTTGTATTCCAGCACTGTTATTTTCCAGCCCCTCTCAGCTGTTCTCAGTTTCTCAGCAGGAGGTAACTGTTGTATTCCAGTACTTTTAATTTCCAGCCCCACACAGCTGTTCTGAGATTACCAGCTGGGAATAAATATTCTTCTCCAGTACTTACTTGTATTTTTCAGCTCCTACAAGCTGTTCTGTTTTTTTTGTTTTCCAGCTGGAGGTAACTGTTATTTCTAAGCACAATTATTTTCTAGCCTCTCTAGACTGATCAGAGTTTTCCTGCTCAAGTTAACCGTTATTTTCCATAAAACAGAGTAATGTACATAAGGACCCTGGCATGAAATGAAGAAACCTTCCTTGGAAGCCTTGGAAACAAGACAATAATGTTTTTAATTGCTCAGATCAAAACAGTGATATATAATGTTATGCAATGTTATGTAATATTAAATGTTACATGATGTTATGTAATATTAAATGTGACGTAATGTTAAAAATATCAAGGCCAACAGTAATTATGAACACAAAATTGAATAAATTTGACACCTGTGGAGTATGTAGCATCACCTATGAATGAGACAAGAATGTGCTTTTAAATTTCCATCATACCTGAATAATGTTTGTGTAAAATTTGAGCTCAAATGCAGTATTTTTATCTTATAAGTCTACTCCTGGTAAGTGGCCTTAGCAACCCATCTTTACATGCAACTGCCAATAAAATAACCCTCCATCATTATAAAGATCTAAGTAAACTTTTAAGGCCTTCATGTCATTTTTTTAAAGCATGGCCTCCCACACTTTTTGTTTTAGCTCCGCTGATAAAAAACATTGAAGGGAAAGTCAAATAATCAACAAGCACAACTCGTGCTTAAATACTAAGCCGGCAATTGACTGAGACACCATTAGCACCACAATAAAAAAAGCAAGAACCCTCAACTGGCTGAAACTTACATCATTTAGTTGCATACTATTCTTCCCACATTTCTCAATAAATTAACCCATATTTAGTGCAGACCTCTATAACACAGACACTAGGGAAGGTTCTCAGAGGGGTTACCTTTGATACTTTAATAACTATAAAAGTAATAGCTTTAACTGCAGTTTAAAGTGATTTGATTTTTGAAATACAGTTAACTTCTCCACTTATCACACAACACCTGTGCAAAGCATGTCAATTGTAAATAACAAATATGGAAGTTACAAATTACTTTCAGTACTTTATAGTGCAAGCAATGTGTTCCTTACCATCATTTTTATGTGTTTTATTTCCATTTCCATTTCCACGGCTCAAATGGCTGAACGAAAAAACAAATTCAAACAATTCTACCTCACTTCTTAAAGCAAGAAATCACAAGACTAAACAACAAGTGTAGAAACTTAGACACACTTAGGCTAGAACCCTAATTCAAAAATAAAAAACTACCCCCCTGCCAAAAAAAAATGTACCACTGTCTTTGGTATCATCCTGTTGACCTTTCCTATTATCTTTTTTTTTCTTTTTCTTTTCTATTAATTTGCAAACACACACCATGCTTCTTCTCAATGGAAAGATTTTCCATAAAACCCAAATAACCAGAAAGAGTATTGGCAAGATAGATAACCAAATGAGTAGTGATATCGAAATAGAGCTTGTAGCAATTCACCAACCTGACTATTACACCCCATTCTTTTTTCCCAGGTCTATGTGAACTAGATTTTGAGCACAGAATGCAGTACCTCACCAAACATCCACTAGGATGACTCACTTAAAAGTATGCATGATTATCATCTCCTGCTGAGATTACACACTTCACTTCAATGTTTTTATTACTACACATATGGGGGCTTTGGTAAGATTGTGGAAAGGAGGGAAAACGTTTGAGCAGCTGGGAGAGACCAAAATGACAGTGTGGCAGCCATTCATTCCTACTTTGATGACAAAGTCTGGGGAACCTTTCCCTGGAAATTTAAAAGTTTGGATCTTTAGACCACTATTTCCCAAGTTAGCTAAAAATGATATCTGCTACAAGGGAGAGTATTGACACTGATTTAATGAATAGAGTAGCTTTTACATAACTAACTATATAAACATTATATACATAGTAATGTTGTCTCGTAGATGATGTCTGTGTGGTCTTGTTTGATTTTTACATTTGACTTGCTCAAAAATATGAAATTGTGCCCAGGACAACATCACATTTTGGGGCACAGTGCTGTGATTTCTGACACAGTATATTTTAAAACCATTACTGATGGCAAAGGAATTAATTGGTACTTCAATGATGAATTTAAAGCACAACAATCAATGTAAACCATCATACCAAAAATATGTCAGCCACTGATTTAAATAGAAAAGCACATATTATTAGGTGAAGAGTAATTTTGCTGCAAATTTGTGCCCTTCTGGGTGAGCAAAGAGAATGATTTAACGCGTTATAACCCCACTGTTACTTGCTGGAGAGCGTTAGGAGCCAGCACCCTATCCTTTAAAAGAGACCAGATCTTCATCATATGTGTAAGTAGTGTCTAAGTTAACTTTCCAGGATATGTGAAGTTTGACATCGACAATACATCCTAGCTGAATTTTTGCGTAGCCCCATACATTTACAATGAGTACATGTCTTCCACTGCATCCATAATAGCCATTAGTGTAGACACTATGAGATTGCTACATGTAACACAATACAAATTATTATGAGGCTGGAAGAAAATCACAAGTTTTTGATCATTGAAACACCGAGATCTGTCCTGTTTTTTAATCGTGTAATATCTAGTGTTGCATGTCCCAAACAAAATTAAAAAGTCAGTCCTCGACACAGAAGGATTCAATGAATCCAGGTATCATACAGCTACATGAAATCCACAGGAATTTAGCACAAAACTTGAACGTGATCTTAGAAGAATGATTGTAATATTTAAATTTTAAAAAAATATTAGCATGAAATGCAACGAAAACCTTACGTTATTGTGCTAGCTCCGACAGAAAAGTAAGGGAAGCCAAGAGGCAATGTCAAATTCTCGTCTTCCTAAGCTTTCCAACGTATGGAAGAAAATTTCCCTAATACTTCGCACTTAAAAACGCCACCAGAATCTTACTCTTTCACCAATCCAAAAGGCATCAAGGATAGCCCATGAAATTCTCAAACTTCGAGCGCTGAAATCTTAACGATCTTTTTACACTTTTGCATTGCATCCCTCCCCTAGTTATAAAGTGACACGCAGAAGACACGATCGCAACGCACTTTGATTGAAAGAAGTAAAACTGCATTCCATTGGTTATAAGGTGTAAGGACATAACTACAACGGAAGACACAACTGCAACGCTACAGATAACCACTTTTCTTTCAGTCCCGTTTCCCGTTCTTGGTTTTAGTAACATCCGTACACGAACTTAAGCGTCTGAAATGGTAAAAAAAAAAAAAAAGAAAAGAAAAGCACAGCCTTCCGACGGTTTTCACGCAATTCAGAATGCAAGTGAAAATATTTTCTGAAAAATATGGTCTGGGTCGACCGCGGTTGAAGCTCGGTCGAGTTTCCTTTTATGGCGGTCACCAAATTCCATGCATTCGTGATTCCCACGAGATGTGTTCTGACTTTAAGGAGTCGGTTGTATGAACAGCTGCCAACAGCTAGTAGTACACTGTTTACAATTTTGCTTTAAATTCGACGAGAAGGTAAGAATCATTTGGGCAAGGTTACCGCATAACCCCAAAGTTTTAGATTATCTTTAAGAATACGACTCGCTTCGGATCAGAATGGGCTTTATGGCGAAGTCTCTCCTCCTTTTGTTACATTGTTTGGATGTATAACAGAATACTGGGCCACTTCTAACCATGCGCCAAACGAGCCATACATATGGGCCTA